AAGAATTAAGATCTCTGTCAACCAATCAACAGACTGCAATGTGTCAAGCTCCGCCTTTTGGCATTGGATCAGTCTGCTAAGTACCCTAACAGAGGAGTAACAAAAAACCACGGGACAGTATGGAGTTGTTCTACTGTGCTATCCACAACTTTTGACACTGGAAATGCAAAAATAACTGAGCTGAGCTGTTTGGTGGAAACGAGGCTTCAGGATTCTTTTTTCAACCCGTCTCTGCCAAAGAGCTGCAGTACAGTAGATTTTTGCTCAATCATTTCCTGAGGCTAAATCACAAATTAGAGCTGCAGCAGGCAAGAGCATCTCATTCCTCACAGGTGAGACACCTGGGAGTCAGTCAGGGTCACTTGTCCACCAACAGGATGTGACAAATCACACGTTCACAGTTTCTGAAACAGCCCTGAACTATTTCTCTCTTTTCACCAGCGTTGGATTTTTTAACTTTGGTGAAGTTTTATATTTTACGATTGGTGTGAAGTTAGTCTGTTGTCTTAGTTATTAAATGAATTCTTTTCTCATGTGGAGCATCTTCTGTAATAATCTGTAAACAACAAGACATTTCAATCTTTGATGAAACCCAGTTTGTCCTGCTTCGCTTGATGTCCTGAATGAGCCTCTGCTGTGACACAACATCCTTCTGCTGTCCTTATTTAGCATCACAGTCAGAGAGCCTTGATGAAGTTGATCCCTGACCCTTCACGTGAGACATGCTGACAACACCAAACGCTCTGCGCTCCCTCTAAGATGTTTCTCATTAGCGAGGCGTCACCTGTTCCCTGTCCATTATCAGGCGAACAATTTGGGTTGGGGGTCCCATGGGGTCGTTTCAGGACATGAACCTACAGTAGGCAGTCGCCCCTCAAAATGGCACCCAGGGTCCCTTGTTCACTCTGCTTCCCAGCCGGAACAACAATGGCGCTTTTCAAATGTCACCCGATAGAGCCGTGTGGGTGCCAAATTGGGACGGGGTGCCTGATGTTCCAGGCGCAAGAGAAGGTGATCAAACAGAGCCTGGGTCAGTGGATCCCCTCTAATTGACAAGTTCACACTTGGTGGGGGGGGGTCACATTCACCGGACAGCACTGGTGCAGTCTGCCAGAGTGGAAAAGTTTTAGACCGCCTGAACATACAATCGAGTTCTACCTCTGCAGTCAGATCTGGGTCATCAGATTCAGCCGTGGTGGCATCACAGAGAAGACCGGGGTGACACTGGGTCCCAAACTGGGTCCTGTTTTATTTACAATTATATCAATAATTTCATTCATTTATTCATTCATTATTTATTTATTTTATTCAAAGCCTCAGAGAAACACACTGAGGCAGAACACTCATTTGTTAATGGTGCTGAGGCTCATACGTCACACACAACTTACAACAAAGAGCAACACAAGAAGAACACATGGGTTTATCAATTCAAAAACAAATGAACAAAAACTAAAAACAGCAACAGTCAAAATCAACTGAGTTACAAATTAAAACTTGAGGCTGTCTCAGAGGTATTAATGAGGTCAGCGTAAAGTTTTGTTGAAGCAGATTCCAGGTACAGTACGTGGGGCACAGTGAGAACAGGCTGATCTTCCTAACTTTGGATTTTTGGCACCTGCAGGAAGAACCGTGTCTCTGAGCGGGTACGATGGCTACCAACGCTCCAAGAAAGCAGGGCTGAGAGACGGAGAGCAGCTTTCCTAAAAGAGCTTTATACATAAATAAAAATAAATGCTGACCCCTCCTCACTGAGAGAGCAGGCAAGCCACTTTTCAGCACGGCCTCACTCTGAAGTCGTCAAAAACTGGCGCTTGGCCAGCGACTGATGGCGTCACACCGACCAAAAAAGTCAACCTTTCATGTCAGCATGATGGAGTCGCCCCACTGGGCTTATCGGGACTTTGGAGCTCCTTATATTATGTCATCACTGGCAGCGTGTCAAACTGATGGTGTCCAGGTGTATCAGGTGGCTTCTGACAAAGTGGTGGTATTTGATGAGCGGCTGCCATCAAATTATTAATGTTCTCTCCTGACTCCTGAAACTATCAGGAGCTGCAACGTTCGGTCACGTGGACAACTCATCTACATCGTTCCTTGAACCTGCACTTGTGCAAAAGGACTGCAAAAGAAGGTTTTGGCTTCCTGGTCTTGGTGTCGGCTACAGACTCACCTTGGACTAGATTTGGGAGGTTTTAAAAACAGGACTAAGGAGCTTCTGACCACTGAATGAACGTCTTGAAAAAGAGATTTGGAACCTTAATAAGACTTCTCAACCTGGTCTTGGTCCAAAGTCGTCAAATACCGGCGCTGACAAAAAAAGCTGTCCTTTCACATCGGCATGATACGTGACTGGTCGCTCAGTGGTGTCAGGGGGAAATGCAGCGGGGCGAAAGTTAAGGGGGCGAGGTGAAAACAGAAGTGTATTTTGAAAACAGACAATGCATGTAACAGGCTGAAGTTGACACGGCGTCCCAGATCATCAACAACCAACACACCCAGGGTACCTTGGACGTCATATGTGGACGTGGAAAGTCCATGACCAAACGTGGACATATGACGAGGTCACAGTGAGGATGAGTTGAAGTATTCCTGGTTAAAAAAAAACCTAATATATAAGACAAAGAAAATGTTAAAATCAAAGTTAACATACTGAGAGCAGTGGATGAGGATACGACTGCACATCAGATCACTGAGTCTTTGGCCACGACCTTGTGTTTATGAAGAGACTTTAATTAGTGACACAGAGTTTGATTAATTAAACTTGGACCACACGAGTGAACTGCATGAGTTGAAAACTTTTAACAATAATTATCATATAACGATTTATTTGTTTCACACGAATACAAAACAAAAGGGAATAAACAGTATAAACAGAGCATGTGAGGGTGAGATAGAGACCTGTTCAGGATTATATCTGGGAAGCATTACCCAGGTGACGGGAACTACATTTGGATCCTCTGTTACATAAAAGTGATAAAACACAGAAACTAAGTTGCAGCTCTTTATTGCAGTTCCTATAATTCTACTTTAGCTGAGGGCCTGAACAGACAGTCCTATCATATCAGTTTCATGCTCTAACACTGTAAGTCCCTCACACACATGCACGGTGTGAATACTAAATAATTGATCAAACCACGGTCCCTAATCTGCACGATGGGTGGCAAATATTTGTGCAGGGAATTTCTGGGTGCGTCGTTTCTTAGCAGGAACAAAGCAAGATGGCCTCCCCTCAGTTTGAGGCAAACACTGGCGGAGAGCGGAGACAAAAGAGATGCTTAAACCCCGCCGGTCTGAGGGGGATATCTTCACCTCTCTTCACAGAGTCCCTAATTGATACATGGGGATTGGCGTGAAGGAGCAGGGACAATGGCTCTATTGTTTCACTGCTCTCTGAATCAAGACGTCTGTCAACTGCGCTGTCCTGGCCCGCCTCCAAACTCTAACTTTCTCTCTTGATTTCTGCCGAGGCCTCTGCGGCTCAGCTCGTCTCTGCCTGTTGGAGAACATCAGCTGAGATATATGTGCAGATAATAGGATACAGGATTACTCATCTCAAAGTTAACACACAGGGTGAAATAAAAGAAAAAGCATTTACAGTTTAGAGGATTAAATCTGTTCAGTTACAGATGTATATTTTAATCAAAAGGTTTATTTTAATGCTGCACAGAAAATCCTGATCAGTGAGTCAAACATTAATAAATACAGATATTTCAGAATACTGAATTTTTGTACCTTAACCTGCACTTAATGTGTTTTTCTTTTCTCTTTCATGTGATTTTTTTAAAAAATGATTTTCATTTGGTGATTAACATAATTTTTTTGTTTGCTCTTATTGTTCATTTTAATTATTAATTCTCTTTTTTTAAATGTTTTTTCACTGTGTTATTAAAGTATTTAATCTGTGTTTACACGTCCAGTTTTTCTCGACTCTACTGAAATTTGAAATTAACTGCCTTGACATTTTTGTGTTGTTGAAAATCCAATAAACAATTCTAAGTTTGTGCAACACAGGCATTTAAATTGTAGAGAAATTTCTTATTCTTCTTAAAAGAAAAACCTCCCTTTAAAGTCAAGTAAATATGAATTCATTATTCAGCTCTTCATCCCTCATATATTTATTTTTCTTGTAAAAAATATTCAGATTATTGCTCTTTAGATGTTAAGACGACCTGTGCACTAACTCAAAGGTGAGTCATTAGAATGAATTAATATAAAGTGCACTGACTCAACACTGTCCTTATTATGCATGCTGATTTTTCACCAAATTACTACGGTAATTAAAATGAAATGACTGACCTGTAAAATAAATCACTTCAGTGAACAGTATTTATTTGTCTTAACTTCACAGAGTTTCTCGTTCAACCTGCTCTCATTAGCAGACGAGGCAGTTTTGGGGGTCGAGCGGTGTCGGTAGAGACGATGTTCCCACCTCCAGCAGCAGAAAACAAAGCGAGGCAAACATGTTTTTTCAGCAACACGATTTTCTTCAGAGAGTAACATCATTCCTCAAACATGAATCACTGATCCGTCAGGAAGAGGAGCCGACTTAGAGGAATAAAAGACGGATTAACAAAGATTCTGTTGGACGTGCTCTTAAATCACTGTAATGAAAAGTCAGATTGGTGTTTGACAGTGTGAGAAACACAAACTGAACCGAGACTCAGATCAGATTAGAAATCCTGGAGATGATTTTGGTTTGGAGCCTGTTTCTGTGACTTCAATTCTGCAGCCAAACATTGCAATAAAAACACACTCAGTAAGCTGAATGTGTGGAGAACAGGGTCACTAAGTTAAAGTGAGCGAGCAACCAAACTAACTCCTGCAGGGTTGAGTTTTTTTCTCTCAGATGCTTTGAGGCTGCATTGAGCTGAAATGGAGTAGAAGTAATTGAATATGAGATTAAAAGACATTTGTGGCTGTATGCATTCACATGATAATGAAGCCCTGCAAACACTGGTGGCCTGTTTGAAAATGATGCATGACAATAGAGTGGAGCCCACATGATTTATTAACAGTCACAGCAGAAACTGCCTGAAGCTGAACGCACTGTAGAAAGATTAAAAAAAGACAACAATAGATACAAAAGCCGTTCAATGATTGTCACACTGAATCCTGAGAGAAACCATGATATAGCATATAGACTTTAATATATTCATATAGATTTATGACATCTGGGTTTTAGTGATACTGTTCTCGGTGTAACTAAAGTCATTCACATCTGCTTTAATCAAACTAGACAACAGTAGAAAAACAAAACAATGCCTATGAGCATAAATAGCATAAATAGTCACAAACTATTTTTATAATTTACAAAAATACACATTTATAAAGTCCACATGTATTTACAGCTTTAGCCATAGTGCTGTGGGTTCAATCAACGTGGAGGGTAGAAAAATAAGGCGAGCCCTGTCTCTGATTATATTTATAATCAATCAATCAATCGTTACTGCATCTGGAAAATATCGACACTTAAACCCTTCACAGCAGGGCGCATCATCTCATCTCATCTCATCTCATCTCGTCTCATCTCGTCTGGTTGGATTGTAGTTTTGAGGTAATGGCGGTCTCACAAAGGCAACTTTGGCAGATTTAAAGTTGATTATGAATAAAATATTAAACATATGTCAACTGGAAGAATTTGGCCGCTCTGGTAAAAAGAAATATGGGAAAGATTTGGCAAAAAATATCAAACGTACATTTACATCTTAAACATGACAGAATGTCTTTGATTATAAGCGTTATAAGAATAGAGAAACTTTCTCTTCAAACTGCCAAATATTGTAAAACAGATGTTTATGGACAGAAAACAAACGGCTGCCATCAGGTGCAGGATCTGTATTAAATACAAGAGGAGGCACCTGGACAGGTACATTAACTCAGTGACTGTCCTAACCTCAGGAATAAGGAGTGTGTAAATGAGGGGCAGTGCTGCAGATACTCGTCTGTAATTTACGTCTGGTTTTGCTCAGTGTGTGTTTCATGTGTCAGCCTTTATGCACAAGACTAACTTCCTTTAGGACAAATAAAACAACGAGTGTTGAGTGGTCGTTTTACTTTGCGAGTACATTTCAGCTCTGAGAGCAAAGCAGGAGCTTCCATATAGAGATTAAAAAAAGAATAAAAATATAAGTGCTCATTTTGTGTTTGACGCTGCGGCTGGTGTTCCCACAGTGTGTCGACCTAACATGCTCTCTAATCTCTCCGTGATCTGCTGCGTGAAGGGAGCGCCGTGTTGATGATGCAGAGAAGCTGCTCCCCAGCCTGACCTCTGACCTGTGCTGAGACGCATGTGTGTGAGGAAAGCGTGTGCGGGTCCCTACGGCAGCGTGGCCCCTATAGCTCGGTCCCTTCTCGGGGGTAAATCAAGCTGTTGACGCTGAAGCTGTTGTAGAAGTGACTGTTGAACTGTCCGCTCTGCCCGCCGCCAAACGTGTTGTAGTACACTCCACGGTTGAAATGCAAGCCCTCGCTGTGCTCTGACGCCCCCGAGTCCTGCCCGCCGTGGTTGAGGTGGTACGGGCTCAGGGCCGTAATGTTCCTGTTCGACAGCTCGTTCACCAGTCCCAGGGACCCCTGCCGGCTGGGGGCCCCCGAGCTGAGCGTCGACATGCTGCTGTAAAAGTTATTAAAACAAGGAGCGGCTGAGGCCAGTCCGGGCGGCGAGGACGAGGAAGAGCTCTTGTGGTTCTCGTTCATCGCCTCCATCTCTGGCGAGGGCGGCCCCAGGAGCTGAGGGCTGTCTGAGGGCTTCAACGTGGCCGCCACCACCGGCCTGCCGTCCTCCACTTTGGTGGCCCCTGCTGCCGCCGCCGCTGCTCCTCCTGCGCTGCTCGGGTCTGAACGTCGTTTCCTTTTCCTGCGGAAATTTCCGTTGTCAAACATCTTCTCACAGTTTGGGTCCAACGTCCAGTAATTTCCTTTTCCTGTCAACAAAGATGAGACACATCAGAACTTAATCACATCAGGTTTTGAGCTGTGGGGCCAAACATGTCTAACATGTATGATTTAAATAAAATAAACTATTTCTTTTTACTCAGGTCTCACCTCTATTCAGCCTTTCCTTTTTCAGATATGACTCGAGACATTGGAAGGACCGTTTCAGCAAGTTTTTAAATTAAATTTCTCAATGATTTCTCATAATCTGTCTCATATTTCTGTTTGTCTCCTCGGAGCCTGTTTGAGGCATTTTCTGAAATACAGGAGGATTTCTGTGCAGTTTAAGAGAACAATAATAAGTGACACCAGGAGCCGACTGTCAGGCTGGTTTCAACTCAGCTACAATTTAGGACATTTAAAAACAACATTCCAGTCGTGTTGGAGTTCAAAACCTGCTCCAGTCTGCTGACAGAAATAATATTCATGAAATATCTCTGTGGAAATAAAATAAATATTTACTACTTATAAGGAAGCCTTTAATTACTGCGTGTAATTTTATTGTGTTGATTAAATGTATGTGGAATTACGGAATTTCTATTAATGTAATTTAAAAACTACTGATGTGTTACCACGTCTCTGTCTTGTGTCTGCTTGTGTCATATTTTAATAACTTGTTGCTTTAAAATAAAAACGTCCACACAGCATCAGTTTGTTTTAACTGAGGATTTTTAGAGAAAATATGATAAAGTTTCTCTGTTTTAATATTTGAAGTATATTTCAGTGTGTGTCTGTTTTTTTGTTTTTTTTTTGCTCAGCTGATTTCCCTCTAATTTAACCGTCCCACACTCCCAGCTGAGCAAACAGAACCCAAACGCCACACGTTGTTGAGAATAAAAAGTTTCCCTGGTGCGTTCACGGTACCTGGATCGTCTTCGTCCCTCGGCACCTTCTTGAAACAGTCGTTGAGAGACAAGTTGTGCCGGATGGAGTTCTGCCAGCCGGCTTTGCTCTTCTTGTAGAAGGGGAAGTTGTCTGCGACGTACTGGTAGATCTGGCTCAGGGTCAGCTTCTTCTCGTGCGCGTTCTGGATGGCCATGGCGATGAGCGCAGAGTAGGAGTAGGGCGGCCGCACCAGCTTCAGCAGCTCCTCCTGGCTGGCGATGGACAGCCAGCCCAGGTCGGGCCCTCCGAAGCCAGGTGAGTTGGTGATGAACTGCCGCTGGGAGCCGTAGGAGGGCGGGATGAAGGACGCAGGGTTGTTGCCGTGCAGGTAAGATGCGGACGAGTTGACGCCCGGCCCGTTGAGCCACAGGTACGGGTTTGGAGACGATGCGTAATCTCCGAGGCCGTACCCGGCGGGTCTCTGCGCGCCCTGCAGGCTCTGCTGGTGGTACATGCTGCTGAAGTTGTCGCAGTACACAGCGGCCATGTCCGGGGCCTCCTGGGCGCCTTTGGGTGGGAGGGAGCCGACGGTAGGGGAGGTGTGGTGCTGGTGCTGGTGCTGGTGCTGGGACTGAGGGTCGATGGAGTTCATCACTCCCCGCGGGAAATCCCAGACGGAAATGCTGAAGCGGTTCAGGTGGCCTCTCCCCGGCGGTGTCAGGGAGGATGGAGCAGGCTGGCCACTTTTAATAGTATAAAGCCTTGACTGCACACACATCCAGGCTCCGGATCAGTCCCAGCAGCCAATAGCCTCACGGTGAGAAACAGGGGGGTGTGGTCACAGCTCATTCAGCACACACCGGCTCAGTGGCTCCAAAATGTTCCTCTGGCAGAAGCTCCCGGACAGACTCGGCACAGTCCTGCTGCACACACACACACACACACACACACACACACACACACACACACACACGCACACGCACTCTCTCTGAGCTGGGGCTGAGGACTGAGGCTGCAAACATCACACTGCTTTACTGCACCTCTTCTTCCTCTGACCTGTAGCAGGGGCGGGCAGAGGGGAAACGTAGGACTGACTATCAGGGGCCTCAGTGGGAGGGGGCCCTCAAAAAGTATGTAATAAAAAGATCTTCCTTAAAAATTATTTAGAGCCTCAAATAAATTAAAATTGTCTGAATAAATCAGGAGGAGTGGTGCAAAAACGGGAGGCGTGTTAAATATTTTTTAAGCACTGAGGAGACTCATGGTTTGTATTCTGGCTCAGGGGACGTTTAAACGCTTTCATTTATTTCACTGCAGTTTTTTAAAGAAAACATGAATTTTATCAATTTGCTGCTGCCTTTTATTAAATCAAATATTTATTCATTTCTTCCATTGCACTCTCATTTTTATTGTTCAGATACTCTCATTGATTTTAACCACACTCTGTCATGTTATATTTAACCCTTTAGTTTTTGTTCTCTGGTTCTTTAATGAATCATTTTAATAAATGTCCTTTTATCACGTGTTTCTTTTGCATCTTGTCTTGATGCTTTGGATGTTTTATCAAGAGCACTTTGAACTGCCTTGTTGCTGAATGTGCTGTAGATATAAATTTGCCTTGTGTTACCTTCCAAATGTTGGCAATTAAAGCAAACATGCCTCTAAACACATTAATCAACCAGAAAATGTAAAAACAGAAATTGTCGTTGGATTTTCAAATTGCCAACAGTCCTTGGAAACATGTGATGAGCTGAAAAAAACAGAAGAAAACCACGTAACTAAATCTGATCTTAAAATCATGATATTTCATCAAAATCACTTTATTCTATGTCTCATTTAAAATGTGACCAAAAATAAACCGAGTGAAAAACTGAGGCTTTTTCCAACTCCAGGATTTCATCTTCAACTTTAAACTTTTAAACTATCTAACAAGTCATTTATGTCACTCAGGGAGGGTCACACCTCAGCCTCCTCCCTCCTCTGATAATTAAAGAACAGTCCCTTAAAGGTGCAAAATTGTTTAGTCCCCCAGCACTAGGGTTCGTCTCTAAACACAGATAGAGCTGAGTGAGTGTCTGCTGCTGGAGCACCATCGCACACTGTCATGTCTTCACCCAACAAAGAGAAATCAGGGTTCAAAAACAGAAAAGAAAGAGAGAAAGCAAAGTGACTTTGTAAAAAACATTTTCAAAAGGTGTGTGAGAGAAACATGGATCAGGAGAGGATGGGCAGGGGCCCCACAGACACTGCTGATGCTTTGGGGCCCCAGAGTTTGGTGCTCTGCCCCTGATCGTGGAACTATATCTGCACTTTTTAAATACTTGGCCTTGTTTTAAACTTCATCATCCAAAGTGAAGATAAAATAAAAATGTTTTATGTATTTTGGTAACAGAACATTATCCAACATTTTATAACAGAGTCATATTGTGACTCTTGTTTCCTGTGAATCTGTGATTAAAGCAACACTTGCTACAGAAATGAGACCGACACAGTTTAAACTGTGAGTTTAAACTAATAAACTGTGTTATGAAATATCAGTTCAGTGCATTTTTATGAACCCATGAGCGCAGATTGATTTTGGCTAAAAATAGGCAGGATGCACACAGACAGACATTTGCAAGCAAAGGAGCTGCTAAAGACGCTCAACACATACAGTATACCTGATTTATGCATCACATGTGGAGAAGTTAGTTTTCCACTGTTGGCAGGGTACTCAAATACAAAACATTTAGGAAGCAGTGAGACAGTATCCAGGACAGATTATCAACACAAATACCTTCAGACCCAAAACCTTTTGTACTTTGTTAATATCCAACCAATCACAGCTTTAGAAAGAGAAAACAATGTTTTTAGAGATGGGTCAGTTATTGGCTAAGAGAGTTATTGCTCTTTAAAGGAAAAAGGTCAGTAAGCCGAGTTATGGGTGAGTGGATTTTTAAATTATCTACAATTCTGCACTTGAAAAAAAAATTGCATATGATATCAGTGTAATCAGTTACTCAGTTAGAACACCTGAGGTCCCTTCATGTGTTCTCTGGAGAAGACACACTTAACCCACGTGATGGAAGCACCTGGGGATGTGATGTAAGTTAACATCTGCAATGTTTGTATCTGTCAAACATTTTTCTTAAATTGATTTTAACATTAATATAAGATGGACTTAAACTGAAGCGTGATCCTCAGCCTACATATTTATTTAAATCTTTACTTACTTCATTTCATTTATTTTATTTCTTATTCATTTACAGTTTTGGGGTGGATTACATGTGCGTTAAATCTTTGGTTGTCTTCCCGAGGTTTTGTTCAGGTGTCACGCTTTTTGTTTATTGTTGCGAAAATCAATAAAGATGCTGTTGTAAAAAAAGGTGTAAGCCTAATGAATAATGACAAAATAAATAAAGCATTTTAATGTAGGGAATATAAAAAACATTCACTCACTTTCAAACTATTGAAAGCTGATTATTTAGCGTGTGATTCAACAAATTACTGATCAAAATAAATTGTGATGAACCTTCTAAAATTAACGTCATCACTCACACAGTGACAGCTGCTCAGTTACTGAACAGGATGTTTGGTTTTAGATGATTTTAAATGACTAAACTCCTCGCTGCAAATTTAAAGAAGAAAGAAAATGTTGTTTTAATTTAATGTGGATGAAATGTTCCTGCTCAGATATGAACATTTATAGAGCGAACATCAAGAGAAGGAAAAACACAGATCACAGAGCACTGGGCTCATTAAACTGAACCAAACTGAGAACACTTCTGTCACCTCGTCTCATCATCATGTCCAGTTTTTAACCCTTTAAATAAATACATTTAAAACCCTTTTTAGAAAGGCCAGAAAATATATTGCAAAACTTAATTTAAATGGCAGCAGTGATACGAGGTGTGTAGAAAATACCTCATCAGCCAAACTGATGAGTTAAAGTGTTGTTCTGGATCTTCAGACGGAGCAGACAGATTTATTTAACAGTTACAAAATAACCACATGTGACAGAACTCTGAGCACTGGACACTGACTCTGTGTTGGTGAATGTTTAATTGATCATGAAATAGAAGATGTAAATTCAGAGCCATTGATCAGCGTGTCATCAGAGGGTCTGTGGGTGTGTAGAGGACGTGAACTCAGGCAACAAGAGAAGGACACAAATACACACAAGTCAGACGGACCGGATCAGGTCAGTGATTTAATGGGGAGGCTGCAAAAACTTCACAGGAAACAGGTGACGAGCAGGTCTGGAGGCCGGGTCAGGTGTGAAGGTGGTCGAGGACGTCAGGTGACCTGGACTGTCAGGAGTCTGAGGACATCTAGTGGAGGGTTGGAGGACGGCAGCGCTCTGTGTGTGTGTGTGTGTGTGTGTGTGTGTGTGGTGTTCAAAACTGTAAATTAAAGTCTTTGAGACACTGAAACAGCAATAACTGACAAATACTAACAGACCATCAAACACAATCATCTCACATTAATGTATGATGAACTGATTTTATCCATCCAGACCGCAACGTGACTGAAATACTGATTATAATTAAAAGTGACGACAGATAAGCAGAACACACAGTGTGAATGCTGAAAACATTTCTTTTACTTTAATTGCCTGAAAATGTTAAATCCTTTTACATTAAAAAGATGTCGCACTAATCAGAAACTGCTACAGGCGGACTCAATCAATCAGTCAATCAATCAATCAATCAATCAATCAATCAATCAATCATGTGTTTCCGGCAACAGCCGAGGGTTTGAAGTCAGTTTTTTCCAGACAGGTCGGGAGTCAAACTTCATGTGCTGTTGTAACGTGATCTACACTCTGACCACTGTGCCTGGAAAGGTTTGCCATTATTAGAAACCACCTCCAGTGAAATTCAAGTTTGTAACTTGTCCACATTGTGTTTTTATCTGCTTTATATATATATATATATATTATCACTGTTGATACAAGCAGTCAGCACCACAGCTGAACATTTCCCCCCTTGGAATTGCAGTGTACAGTGACAGTCTCCATAAAACATGAATTCAAACTTCCAGCTGTTGTTACGTCACAACCCTAAAGAACCAATCCCAGGGCTTGACGCTAACTTTTTTCCCAAGGAGCACATGTGCTCCTAAGTTGAAAAAGTAAGTAAGTAAATTTTATTTATATAGCACTTCTCACAGAGAGGACTCACAAAGTGCTCCACAAGATAAAATACAATAACAGAAACAATGCAAAATACACAAAAACAAATAAAAAGTAAAGTGCAGCGAAACACAGAGATGATTCAATGGACAATTAATGGAACGCAAGCCTAAACAGATGTGTTTTTAACTGCTTTTTAAAAATGTCCACGGAAGAGGCTGCTCTCAGCTCATGAGGTAGTGCATTCCACCATTTCGGTGCAACAGCCTTAAAGGCTCTATCACCTTTTGTCTTTATTCTTGTGTGAGGGACAGTAAGTAGGTGGCCTTCAGTGGACCGCAGTGACCTGACAGGACAGTGAAAGGACACCAGATCCGTCAAGTATGCAGGTGCTTGACCATGGAGGGCTCTGTAAGTGATGGTTAGAATCTTGTGCTGGATCCTGAAATTAACAGGGAGCCAGTGCAGGGATGCCAGGACTGGAGTCATGTGAGTGAACTTATGAGATCTGGACAGAAGCCTGGCGGCAGCGTTCTGGACCAGCTGGAGGCGCTCTAATAAAGTTTTATTGAGACAGGTGAAAAGAGAATTACAGTAATCCAG